AAAAAAATAAATAAGAGGGCCTAAGATCAACTGTGGAATAGACTATCAACTGTTTAATGCCACTGAATTGACTATAATTTCACCTTCCCCAGCATATCTTTTTCCAAGGCCAGGCCTCTCCTGACAACATGCCCAGATCATGTCCAATGATGTTTCACCATCCTTGTGTCTAAGGAAATCATCAGTTACTAATGAAATGATGTAAGTGAAAATTGAAGAAAGTGAAACCAAGTCCACATGAACCAAAACACAACCCGGAGTTTATCCAACCTGAATTAAAAAAACATCTGATAAACAAATTTGATGCTGGGCTGTTGTACATAGGGTCGCTATGAGTCACAAACGACTCGACGGCACATAACAACAACAATCAGAATAACAGAATACTAGATGAGTTGTGGAAAGACATCCTCTATGAAGAAAGCAAAAGTTATTACAAAGATAGGAATGAAAGAGACCAAAATGGATGTCAGAAGACACTTAAATTTTCTTTACAACATAAAAAAGCCAAAATCAAGGGGCAAAATGCTGAAGTAAGATTGCTGAACAAATGATTCCAAAAGGCAGCTGGAGAAGACAAAGCACAATGTTATAATGAAATGTGCAATCTAGAGATTTAAAACCAAAAGTGTTTTAATACACAGTCAACATTACAAATTCAAGCCTTGAGTTTACGGAAGGATTATCTGGGCAAGTTGTTTGAAAGAAGCAGCAAGAATCAAAAGAAGATTGAAGGAATGCACAGAGTCACTTTACCAAAAACAACTGGTCAACACTGAACCATTTCAAGAAGCACCATATGAAAAAGAAAAAAAGGAAGGAATTGAAGCTGTCCTAAAAGCATTGACAAAAAAACCAACTAAACAAACCAAGCAATTGCTCTCGAGGTGGAACCTACTCAGCTGACCCCCAGTGAGTTTTCATAGGTTATAAACTGCACAGGAGGAGACTGCCTACCTTTCTACAAAGGAATCACTAAGAGATTAAACCCGCCTTCGGGTCAGTGGTGCAACTCCCTGCAGACTACACCAGCAGAGCTCCCCACAAACCCAGGAATTGATGGAATACCATGTGAAATGTTTCAGCAAACAGATGCAGCTCTGGACTTGCTTACCAGTCGATTTAAGAAATCTGTAAGACAAATAGACTACCTAGCCAACAGAGTGGGAGAGATCTATATTCCCTTTTTTTTAAAAAAAAAAAAAGTGATCCAGTATAGTGTACAGATTTTCTAATTAATAATTCACACACAAGTAAAAATCTTACTGAAGATCATTTTAAAAACGACTGGAATAGATGTCAGAAGTGACATTGACAGGGAACTTGCCTGTAATTCAAGCTGGATTCAGAAGAAGCCATGGAACAAGGGACATCATTGTTAACGTCAGATGGATCTTGGCTGAAAGCAGAGAATACCAGAATAATGTTTACTTGTGTTTTATTACTATGACTATGTATCTCATAATAAATTATGGATAACATTGATAAGACTGGGAACTCCAGAACACTTAATTGTGCCCTTGTGAAACCTGTCCATAGACCAAGTAGCAGTTTTGGGAACAGAATTAGGGAATACTGCATGGTTTAAAATCAAGGAAGGTTCTATCTTTTCTCCATACCTAGTCAATCTGTAATTGGACTGCCCACATCACAAACAAATCTGCTTTGGAGGAAATGCAATCAGAGTGCTCTTTAGAGGCAAGGATGATGAAACCTTGTCTCTCATATTTAGGACATATTGTGAAGAGACAGGGTGTGGGCCATCCTTGGAAAAAGACATCATGCTGGGAGAAGTGGAGGGTCTGTGAAAGAAAGGAAGACCCTCAAAAGAGATGGACTGACAGAGTGACAACAAGAATGGGCTTCAACATGAGGGAGACTTTGAAATAAAGGGCAAAGTGTAGATCTGCTGTTGATGGGATCACTATATATTGGAGGTGACTAAGTTGACACTTAACAACACTTTTGCTGCAGAATGATAGTGACCTCTCATTACCTGGAGGAATCACTGACATCAGAATCCACCTTCCATCGTACAGAACGAGTGCTCTGACCTTGTTTCCTCACAAAGTCTTCGTCCAGTCCAGCCTGCTTCAAGGCATCTCGATACCTCTGTTCTGCTGCTTTCCTGGCAAGGTCCTGTGGGATGAGACTTCATTTGCTCTAGCTGTTTAATGAATTACCAGATTACTCTAAATTGTTTGCTTAATCGGTATCCCAACAATACTGCCCTCCCTCCCCACCCTAGTCCTTCTGTGCTGCCACTAATGCTAAGCTATTTGCACAGAATTACTTAGCCTGTTCCCAAATCTAAAATATGCATAGAAAGCATTGGAGGGTCTTGTTAAAACACTGATTCTCCTTTGGTAGGTGTCGGAGGGGACCTGCAGTTGGTGCACTGCTAAATCTGCCTGGAGATGCCAACTCTTGGTCCAGGAACCAAGGAAAAAAATAATTTTGGGGAGACTAAATAGGACTAGGATGAAAAATATGGACTTATAAATATTTTCAATAAGAATTAGTAAAAATTTAAGATCTCAAAGCTACCAAACCATCATCAGGAACACTAAAATGTAAATAAGTTACACTAGTAACATTCCTAATTAAAGGCTAGACAGTCTGCATGTGGATTATAAAAAGATATGTGTGTTCAGAGACTTAGGCATAAAGCCCAAAACCATAATGATCCTAAGAGACCAAATGAGACTAAATTTAGAAGGTATGGCCTATGATATAATAGGCTAGCAAATACTGCAAGTAATGTACAAGTTGATTTTGTGAATGGTGTGAGATATGGATTGTGCTTCAGCTTTCTGCACATAATAATCCAGGTTTGCCAGCACCATTTGTTGAAGAGGTTGTCATTTATTATATGATAGGTTTGTTTCCTTGTCAGATGCCTGTTAATTATAGGTGGATGGGCTGATTTCTGGGTTATCAATCTCTTCCATTGGTCTATGTGTCTGACATCGTACCAGTAACATGCTGTTTTAGTTATTATAGCTGTGTTTTGAGATCAGGGAGTGCTACGCCTCCTAGTTAATTTTTATTTTTCAGAAGTCTCTTTTTATTCAGGGTGTCTTTCTTTTACAAATAAACTTGTCAATTTACTTTTTAAAATCTTTTTAAAGGGTACATTTGGTATCTGTATTGGGATTGGTTTGAACCGGTAGATTGCTTCTGGTAGGATTGTCATTTTCATTATATTGAGTTTTTCTAGCCACAAACAAGGAACTTTTCTCCATTTAGTTAGGTCTCTTATTATTTCTGACAGTGGTGGTTTTTGTTGTTGTGGTGGTGGTGATGGGAGATATATATATAGATATATATATTTGTTCATTGTTGTTCATTCAAGCATGACTCATGAACAAAAAGCCTGAAGCCTTTCTGTAACGATAGTAATTTATTAAAGTTCATAGTTTCCAGAGGCATGTTGTTTAGGAAGTGGATGCCACTCCTGTGTATGTGTGTGTGTGTGTGTGTGTGTGTGTGTGTGTGTGTATTTAATGTCTCTAGTTAGGTTTATTCCCAAGTATCTGTTTGTTTGTAGTTGGCTATTATAAATTATACTTTATTGGTAAAAAAAAAAGTGTGTTTTTGTTCTTCAAATGATAAAGAAAAAAACTCATAGAGAACTTTGTATTTTTCCTGGAGTGATTAAAGATCTGTTGGGATATAATGAGTGTTCTTGAAAAGAGGAAAAGTTAATATGATAGTTGTTCGACAATACAAGTTGCTAAGTAAACCCAAAACAGTCCTGTGTAAATGCACAGAGAGAGAACTGAGATGAACCAGAAACACCTGGCCTAGTACACTGTCTATAACATGGGATGTACGGCTAGCACAAGCAGCCAGGTCACTAGGGGACCCCAACTTTTCCCTGGAGCTTGGGAGAGGAGAGGGATGTACAGTCTGTTACAGTCCAAAGCTGCACAGATGGCGGCCTCTCTAGGCTAGTCTAGTAGCTCATTGGGAGATGCCATCTGAGTTCAGCTCCCCTAAAAGTTTAGAGAACATCTTAAAATTATTCTTCCTGTGTGGAAATTACAATCTGGAATGAATGTCTCTTAAGAGCATCTCTAACACTCACTGCCAATAGTCTGTCCCAACTCATAGGGTCCCTCCATCAGGTTTCCAAGGCTATAAATCTTATTGGTGGGGGAGGGAATCTTACTGGGCGGAAACTGCTCCTCTTTCTCCAGCAGAGCCTCTGGTGGATTTGAACCACTGAAATCTCATAGGTTTAGATATGGACTATGCCATACCATAATCCATAGTCCATAAACTGTCAACAACTTTATCTTCATTAGATCCACAATCAATACACTTGGTTCTAGCAGTCAGGAGATCAGGAGATGTATCACACTGAGGAAGTTTGCAGTCAGGGACCTCTCCATATTACTGAGGAGCAATGATATTAGTTTGAGGACTTAGGTGCACCATGATCTTTTCAGTCATTTGCCATGCATTTGAGAGATGGACAGTGACTAAAGATAACAGAAGACAAAGCAACTATGAGATATCATCTCACCCCAGTCACAAGAACAAAATTTAACAGAACAGCAAGCAACAAATGCTGGTGAGGCTGTGGAGAAACTGGAAGCTTTATTCACTGTTGGTGGAAGTGTAAAATGGTGCAACCAGTATGGAAGGCAGTATGACGCTTTCTCAAAAAGTTGCAAATAGAGATAGCATTTGACACAGCAATTCCACTACTGGGAATATACCCCAAAGAGACCATAACTAACATCCAAGCAGATATATGCACACCCATGTTTATCGCGGCTTTGTTCATGATAGCAAGGAGCTGGAAACAACCCAAGTGTCCATCAACAAACAAATGGACAGAGAAGCTGTGGTTATATTCACACAATGGAATACTATGCTGCATTGAAAAACAAGGAACTCATGCAATATTATTAAAAATGGGTGACACTGGAGGACATTATGCTGAGTGAAGTATCTCAGTCACAAAAGGACAAATACTACATCATGCTACTGTTGTAAAACAGGACTGACATCGGGGTTGGGGGGAGACTGAGAAAGACTGGATAAATCATGTATATTGTATTGAAACAGATGAGGGAGAAAACTGTTTAAAAGGGATATGTGATAGGTATTTTTGTCATGACAGGAGTCCAGAGCGAAGACTGCATAGTGGAGTGGACCTGGGGGTAGATATTGTAAAACAATGAAAATTTTTCTTTTACTTTTCCAATAGGGTAGTGTACTAGGCAGAGGGGTTGGGAGGGAGAAAAGTGCAACAATGAATGAATAGAAATCCAAAGTCTCTGTAAATTTTCATTGAAATTAACAATTAAAAAATTTTAAAAAAGATAACAGAAGAAGAATTGATGCTTTTGAACTATGGTGTTGGAGAAGAGTACTGACTATTCCATGGACTGTGAAAGGAATAAACCACTACGTCTTGGAGAAGGTACAGCCAAGATGCTCCTTGGAGACAAAGATGATAAAGCTTCATCTCTCTTACTTTGGATATGTTGCTAGGAGAGGTTATTCCTTGGAGAGGGATATCATGCTTGGGAAGGTGGAGGGATGGTGAAGATGAGCAAACTGGGAGGTTGACACACTCACTGCAACAATGGGCTCGAGTGTGTGAGAGATCGTGAGGATAGCCCAAGCAGGATAGAGTTCAGATCTACTGTTCAAAGGGTCACTATAGGTCACATTCGACCTGATGGCACATAACAACAACAACGTCATGATGTATGATATCGACTGTTGTTGTTGTTATGTGCCAATCAAGTCGCTTGTGACTCATAGTGACCCTATGTACAAGAGCCCTAAATGCTGTTCTATCTTGTGCCAACCTCGCCTATGTTACTAAAAAAATACATCCCAGCTGAAGAGGATGGGGAGACCAAGATCATCAGAGAAGTGAGTTGGCTTCTCAATACCATAAACTACGGCTCCAGAATAAAAAGAATTTTAGTTGTAAAGTTAAAGATACTCTTCAGGACAATGCCAAACTCAAAGTCTATTTAGTGTGTAGTCCCTACTCTGCTTCAAGCAGCAGATAGTCAAAGCTCTAGAAAGTGAAATATCCCTTACAGACACTACTGAAGCCCAAGCTTAACTGAAATCAGTTTGAGCAATCTTTCCCATTGCATTACTTTTGGGGGAAAGATAATATGAATAAAACAGGCTTAATTTAGTATGTCTGAGTCTAAAGAAAATATCAACTTCCACGTATTAAAGTTTTTGGTAACTCCTAGAAGCTTGTTTTTTCCAAGAAGTAAAGAAAATGAATGATGATTTCATTTTACCTTGGTAATTTGTTCAAAGAGGTAGGGCCTTGTTTGTATTCTTTTCTTCATTTCCTCCAATTCTTTCTTATACTCTTTTGTTCTCTTCCGATCATTATTCCTGGAATTAACAAGATTTCTAGAATGAATTCTGTCCTTTTCAAGTCCAGGGAACACTTCAGTCCATGTAAGCAGAGTAACTACCACGTACACAAAACTACAAAGTAATGACTGTTTCTGGGACAGAAGCCTACCCACCCTAAGGACCATTTTGCAATTTTCAGTGATCTGCTGGATCCCAAGATAAGCACCCCTTTGACACATGGAGCTCACTGACCGGTTCTCTTTCAGCTTTGCTTTGAACACTTCCTCCAGGCTTTTATGGGGATCCAGCGCCTTTGCACGCAATGTCACGGATTTAGACATTGCCTGGCACTTCTTTTTGTGCATTTCCAACCACTGAGTACTCTCATCTGTTCTGTTCCTTTTTTCAAGTGAGCTTCTGAAAGGTAGGAGGCAAAAGTGAATAGAGATGATGAATTTAGGAATGCATATTTTAAAAGCAATCTTTGTAATCTCTATGGAAAGTATGTTGGTAGTTCTTGTGAATGGGGTTGGTAATTTACCACAACTGGAATTTTCATCAATATTTAAAATCTGGGATTCAGTTTACTAGCAGATGAAGCATTCTCAACACCATGAACTAAGATTTCTTATCCCAGAAGATGTTTGCTTGCTAATTGAAAAACACAAGTTTAGATATTCTCACTTAAATAACTTCTCAGTAACTGGCAGCACCAGGATGGATGGAAAAGAGATTGAGGTTGTTAACAGTTACAACTTGCTCAGCTCCACAATCAACACTCTTGGTACCAGCAGTCAGGAAATCAAAAGATGAACTGCATTGGGAAAATCTGCTGCCAGGGACCTCTCCAGAGTACTGAGAAGCAATGATGTCAAACTAGAGACTAAGGTGTGCCTGATCCAGGCTATGGTCTTTGCAATTACTTGCCATGCATCAGAAAGCTGGACAGTGACAGAGGATGACAAAAGAAGAATTGATGCCTTCAATCTGTGGTGTTGGAGAAGAGTACTGAACTTACCGTGGACCACGAAGAAAACAAATAGGTCTGTCTTGGAGAGGGTGAAACCAAGTTTCTCCTTAGAGGCTAGAATTTTGAAGCTTCGTTTTACATATTTTAGGCACATGGCCAGAAGGGACTAGTCCTTGGTGAAGGACATCAGAAGGTTAGAGGGACAGTGCAGGAGAGGAAGACCCCAGATGAGATGGATTGATTCAATAACTGGGGCGATGGGGGTAGGTGTGTTGGAATCAGTGAGACAGGCTCAGCTTCAGAGCTGTTGTACATAGGGTCGCTATGAGTCGTGGATGACTTGGCAGCTCAAGACAACAATATACCTCTCCTGTGAGATAAGGACTCTAAGCTGCTTTTTTTTTTTAATGTTTGAGGAAATGGAAATTCAGGAAGGATAAATCACTTTTTAAATTATTTTAATGATAATTTTAAATTATAAAGCTACATGATATTTCAGTGGAAAGCCATGATTAGAACTTAGGATTTCTGACTCTCAACTTCTGCCCTTGACCACTGTGCCCTTGACTACTGGTGGTCTGGAAGGTACTAGGCTTATGGTTCTGTGAGAATACAAATTTGCTTTCCTAGAACTGGAAATGGGGCTTTCTTCAATGTAGACAAATTGGGGTCAACTTGTAGTATTTAGCAAATACCATTAAACACAGTACTATGGAGAGTTCCTTATAGGAAACAATCAAGACTCGCATTTAGATACAGCCTTTCAAATAGAAAGGAGAACATGAAAGTTTCATCTGCTAATACTTCACACTCCCTATTTCTGGGACCCACTGATGAAGCTGCTAAAATGAAAACATTTAAAAGGAAGGATCCCTTTGATTCTAACTTCATCTCCAACAGCCCTGTTGTAGGTCTTAGGGTGCCAAGCAGAAAGTTCTATGGACTCTGTAAGCCCACAGAAAAGACTAAATCCTCCGTCTTGTCCTGGAATTAAAGTGCTCCGGGAACTCTCACTGCTCACTGGCCTAGTGGATGGACTCCTGGTGCAGGGGAACCGGCTACATGTGAAAAGGATCATGACAGAATCTGGTGAGTCAAAACTAACAGGCTCTTGTTCCCCAGTTGATACCTCTAATAGCTGTCCAAGATGACTCTCAACTAGGCAAAGGCTGTTTCATTATCTGTGTGGCAGGTTCAGCCACCCGTCATCATGCTTCTCTCAATTCCTAGGCCTCATGGCCACCTTCCTCTTTTATTATGTCCCTTGACCCATGTTGCACTCTCTGGAACTCCTTTCTTTTCCTGTCTTCAGCTAATTCCTCCTCATCCCTGAGCTTTTGCCTTGGATGTTTAATATTCCAAAAGAATTGACACTTTCCTGCCCCAGCCCCCTGCACTCTCCCATCATCGCACTAGTTATAAAATACTGTGATTACGTGCTTGCTTGCTTTTCTGTATTGCAGACTAGATATTAACTGTTTTGAGTTCCATCGAGTAGGAACCAACTCTTAGCAGGTTTTCAGAGGCAGTAAATTACACAGGAGACAGCCCATCTTTCTCTCACAGATAATCCAGTGGATTTGAACCATGTGCCCTTGGGTTGGCAGTGCAACTGCTTATCACTGCACCACTAGAGTGCTCCAGATGTTAACTACAGGTTCTCTAAGGTATATTCAGTTTTAACATTGTGCCTGGCCTGGGGAGCTGCTGCTAAATGCTGGCAAAGTGTTCTCCATCAGCAGATGTGGGGCCACTTGTACTTCTATCCTAACAGAAAATTTCTTCTGATCCCTTGAGGCCTCTTGGTGACCAGAGAGGAGGCTCAGTGGCAGAGCAGTTTCCTGACTGTGGGTCAAGATCAGAGAGTGATCTGTGCAGCCTCATCACTTACCTGACAGCAGACTCCCTCTTCCTGGTGGCATCTGTAATATGCACAGGGAGGGTGTTGACCGAGAGGGAAGCAAGGCCGCTCAGTGAGCGACTCCTGGGCAGGGGAGTGGCAGGCGGCTGTGAGGAATCCTGGAAGAAAAGAAAGCTGGTATTGGTAGGCACATGTGTTTATTTTCAGTCTTAGCTAGGATTCAATTTCAGTGAAGGGCTACTCAGGGAAGCTCCATTTCTTTTCCTGGGAATAAGGTTAGGGGAATGAGAACTCAAGTTGAGTAGCCATGTAAAAAATATCAAACCCACTCACTTTGGTCAAGTCTGTTCTGACACAGAGAAGAGCCTCCAGGGCAGAGGAGAACTGCTGCACGGGGTTTCCAAGGGTGGAGGTCTTGATGGAAGCCGCGTGCCACATCCGACTTCTGCACAGTGGCTGGTGAGTTTGAATCACTGACACTTTGTTTATCAGGTAAACACTTTAGTGACTGTGCCACAACAGCCAAGAATTGGCTATCAATCCTAGCATTTGCTCAAATATTCAGAGTTTTGGAGTTGGCACAGGGATTTAAGCAATTAATCCCAACTCTCTGACTTCTAGACCTTCTTAGATTTTAACCCCAAAACCCAAATACTACTTCCATTGAGTTGTTCAATTCCAACTCATAATGACCCCCCAAGGGACTGACCCTCCATCAAGTGGACCCTCCATTGAGTTTTCTAGGCTATAAATCTTTCTTTCTCTCTTTTTTCCTTTATTTTTTTAAAGGCTATATATCATTGTGGCAGGATAGTGCCCATCATTCTCCCTCAGAGCAGCAGGTGGATTCGAACCCTTGACCTTTTGATTAGTAATCTAACCCATAACACACTATGTCACCAGATCTCTCTGTAGCAAAGGAAAGAAAGTATTCTTATGGTCTTAGGTTTATAGAAATTATGAGTCTTACCACTGACTGATAATTAAGTCTCACAAATTATTGCCTTACAACCGAGACAGTATTTATTTAAAAAATGAGGTTGATTCCATGTTCTTGCATTGGTGAATAATGCTGCTATGAACATTGGTGTACAAATATCAGTTTGTGCCTCAGTTTGTACACCAATGCTCACAGTAGCATTATTCACCATCACAAGAACATGGAATCAGCTCAAATGTCCAAACATAAATGAATGGACTGAGAAATTATGGTACATTCACACAATGGAATACTATGCAGCACGCAGGAGCAATAACTTTGTAAATTATTACCTAACTTGGAAGGGACTGGAGAGCATTATGCTGAGAGAACTAACTCAGACCCACAAGGATAAATACTGTAAAAAACCGTTATTGTAGAATGAATATAATCCATGATGGGTGGGAAAGGCTGGAAGCAGAGGGTGTGGATGTGCAGTGGGAGGGAGAGATTAATCATGGGGTTGTACAATTTGATGGCTGGGGGGGTGAGGGAAATTGAAAGAATTTGTTCGAATTTGTATTCAAATTTTGTAAATAAACTAGTAGGGGGGAAAATGAGGTTGAAAAAAGTGGTGAGACATGCCTTACATTGAGACCTGGGCCCCTCCACTGAGACCTGGGCCCACCCCTGTATTCCAGGCCACAGGTTCTAACTGTCCCACAACCCCCTGGGTTCTCACCTTCCGCCTTCCTGGGACATCAGCATCACTAGGTTGCTGAGTATGACGCAGGTTGGCAGTTCTCAGCAAGAAGGGCTTGTTCCGAGTCACCTCTCGGGTTTCCCTTCTTTTGGCAGCTCTCTTCTGGAAAGCTTTATAAAGACCCTCATAGTCGGGGACGGTAGTATTCACCCGAGGCTGGAATTCAAAGTCAGTCTGCAGAAACCCTAGCTTTTGCTCCCGGGTTCGGGTGGCGGTTCGAGACTTCTCATCTGCCCGGCTAGCACAGGAGGTAACAGGAGAGGAAGCCTTCTGGAGCATGTCCAGGGCTCTCATCTGAATGCGGATTTTCCTGAGGAGCTCAGCTTCTGTGGAAGAAAAGCCAGGCTGGTAATGGGTGAGGAGGGACCAAACTTAATACTGAACTTTTTCCCTCTTTTAAACACTGCTATAGCCAAGTGTTAAACTTTTTAAGAATTTTGTGAGCCTGCTGATATCATATGGGGTGCCTGAAATTGGCCACAAGGGGATATGTTTATCACAGAAACAGATCAGTCTGGTTTTTTTTTCTGGAGAGCTGGATGATGAAGGTTGTGGGCCTCAGCGTCAGCCCCTTTGTAAAGATAGTTAACTCTTAACACTCTCTGAGCACTCAAAGACAAGGAGCAAGAGGAAGAGGCCTAGTCACCTGCTCCTCCCCCAGGTTTTCACATCTTTTTGTACTCCAAAGACCTCTCTTTGCACCCACGTGCCCAAGCCTATTGTCCAAATCATTTGTTATTCTTCCCTTTCTCACTAAATCAGTCACAAGTTCTGCAGCATCTATCATTCTAGCCGCTCATCAATCCACCCTCCTTCCACTGACCCTGTTCCATAATTTCTCAACTGAATTCTTGAACTAGCTTCCCATTAGACCCACCTCCCTCCAGTCTTGCTTTAGGCAGCCCCGACAAACTCTGACTTTAATTATCCATGCAGCAACCAGATTAACCTTTCTGAAATGTCTACCTGATCAAGAGCCACCCTGCGTAAAATCCGTGAGTTCCCTCACGTCCTTAGAATGAAGTCCAAACTCCCTCATGTGTCCCACAAGCCCACCAGCTCTAGGTCTGTCCTGTTGCACCCTCCAGACTCCCCTCTCTCCTCGGCCTCTTCTATCTTTCCATCCTTTGACTATATTCCTTTTTCTCTTAACGTCATGTCTCACACACTCCTCTCTCTTTAGTGAATTAATCCTTTTCACCTTCAGCTTCAGTGCTCACTGTCCATTGGGGCCTCCTCCAATGTCTCCAAGCCCTTCACCACCCACTAGGCCCAGTTACATGCTCCGCAGGACACTGTGATAGACTGAACTGTATCCTAAAAATATGTGTTGTAAATCTTAACCATTAGCAATAATCTCATTTGAGAATGGATTTTTAAATTATGTTGATTTTATAGTGTTAATGTGCCATGTATCTTAAAGAAATATCTTTTGAAATAGAAAAGGGACAGTTAAATATACCAGAAAGCATGAGATGGGGAAGGTGGATGCCATGCCACATAAGGATCCCCAAGGAAGGGAAAAAGAGAAAGGCTGCTTCTAGAGTCAGTGGTTCGAATCTACAAGGTACTCCATGGTAGAAGGACAGACAATCTCCTCCTGTGTGATTTATTGCCTCTGAAAACTCTCTGGAGGTTCAGCTATCAGTCAGTTCCAACTCAATGGCATGCAATAACAAGAAATTGTGAGAAAGGAATTTCTGTTTGTTAAAGCCACCCACATAAGAGAATCTCTTATGTTCCCCCATTAATTACTTCAGATCCATCACATTTGCAATTATTTTTCTGCTATCTGTCTTACTCATATGTCTAAAAATCCCATGTCTGTTTATGGGATGTTTATAGGACAGTAAAACACGTGTTACTGAAGGAGTGGGAGTTACTTAAGGCTCAAATAAAGCCTCAGCATCCTATTCAGAGCCACTCTTAAAAGGTGCAAACAATGACCCTTCCAGGAACTTCAGTGACTGACCACCTCACCAGAGTGGGGAAAACATTGGAGAGCTTTTGCCTAAACAGCTGGCTAGTGGCAGTCTAGCCTACACTGATCTTTGTCTCATTGGTTCTCTCCTCTTGAGTCTTCATATCCATGAGGTTGGGTGATTGAGAGAAAGGCCAACAGGACGAAACTTGGGTATACTTCCTGTAGGACCTCATACTTTCTACTCTTATGTGGTTCCCCCACCACACAGTAGACTTGTGGCCTGCAGTGAGCAGTCCAGTGCAGCCTCTAGTAGATACACCTGAACAGCTCATCTCCAAGACAGCCCAATCCCTAAATCCCAGTGAACCCCAACAGTGCCTCTCAGGACCCCTAGGCAGGAGAAGAGATTAGGACAAGGATAGCTTTACCCTCAAGTTTGTCCCCAAGGGCTGGCTCCAGAATAGACTTGGGGATCTTCTTCCTGGTGGCTTTCTGCTTGGGGACCTTGGCCTCAACTGTGGCAGCCAAGTCCCTCTGTCGAGCAGCTTCCTTTCGTCGCTCCTCTTTCTCCAGGAAGCTGAAGGGCTTCAGGGAAGAGAGGAGCAGCTCCTTCCTCTTCTGGATCCCTGCCTGTCTGCGAGCCTCACTGCGCTCCACAATCTCCTGGTAGAGGGGCAGGTAGACGTGAGCGGGCACAGGCTGCGCCTGGAACTGGCGGTGGCACTCAGCTTCCTCCTGCGCCTGCCTCTGTGCCTGCTGCCTCTCGTGCTCAAAGAAGGAAGGTGAGGTCAGCCTCTGGGTCTTCTTTCGGGCCTCTCGCAGAGTCATGTGGAATGGCCGGGGGACCGTGATGGTTGAGGCCCAGGAACTGATGCTTCTGCGCTGGGAGGAGGGCCTGGAGACAGGGCGTGGGCTGGGCTGAGCCCTGGGACTGTCTGAGGGAAGATTGCTCAAGGAGCTGCAGCGCCTTGTGGAGCCATTCCTGGGTGAGGAAAGCAGATGTATACATGGAGGACCAGACAGCTAGGACCCTCCTCCCCACCTGTCCCTGTCCTCCCTTCCCAATAGGCCACAGCTGGCTTTGCAGTTACCATCACAGCCCCACAGGCCTTTCACAGCCAGCCTCCCTCATTCCCACATCAGCAGCTCTGGCAGGAAGCAACTTCACACAACTGCTCTAGAAATTGCCACTTTGTCCCCTCTTATTTGCATATGACAGAGAGAACAGTGCAACGATGGTGCAAGGCAGAGCTTTAGAGTCAGCAGTGCCAGGTACACAACTTGCTTCAAGCAGTTACCGGCTGTGTGACCTTAAAAAAGTCTCAATATCATCTTAGAATGGCAAAAATAATATTCAAAGACAGTGTTTTGGAGATGAGAAAATACTAGATGATATATACATACACACATATAACAATGTTTGAATAAAAGAAATGAAGAATAAATGGTAGCCAGTACCACTGTTGTTATTTTTGGGGAAGACAGTGTTTGGGAAACACATTCTTTTAGTCAATTCTAAGGCTTCATGTGACTAAAGGTTACCCAAACCTCTGGTGGCCTAGTGATAAGGAGCTGCACTGTCAATCTGAAGACAAGGGTTTGAATCCACTAGCTGCTCCACAGAGAAAGATGGGCAATCTCCTCCCATGTGATTTCACTGACTTTGAAAAGCCACTGAAGGGTCAGCTATGGGTTGATTCCAACTCAATAGTACCCAATAACAACAACACAAAGAGATACAGGATTACTAGGTAAGGAACACTTGGGACCTGAAAGTTTCTAGAAGGAGTGAACTTGGAAGGATATGAAGCCCAGAGAGATGTCATGACCTGCTGGCCCTCAGTTATAGAGGGCGCAGTGCCTTACCTCAGAGGTTGTGGGAATTGGACACTTGGCTTCCCCCTGCCCTTGTCTTGGAAGAAACTCTCCAGATCTTCATTATCTTCAGAAAAGATTCCATCACTGTCAGAGTCTGACAGATCCAGGGATTCCAACAGGCTCCACGTGCCATTCCGAGTTAGTATCTCCAGGCTCTTGTAAAAGCTCTCCACTGAGTCAGAAGCAGAATCTGTCTCCTCCTCTGCACTAAGGAACTCCTCCAGCTTGCCAGCCCTGGGCAAGACTAGCGCATCTCCAGGAAGTTCCTCTCCCGCTTCTGTGTCTGAGGAGGATTTGGGAGGAAATATCTAAAATGAAACAGAAATAGAGGGTGGGTCAAATGACAATTTAAAATTAATTTAAACTCCATCTCACATATTTTAGGCATGTTGTGATGAAGGACCAGTCCTTGGAGAAGGACATGATGCTTGGAAGGGTGGAAGGACAGCACAGGAGAGGAAGACCCTGGGTGAGATGGATTGACACAATAACTGGGGTAATGAAGGTAGGTGTGTCAGAGTCAGTGAGATTGGCTCAGGATAGAGCAGGGTTCAGAGCTAGGTGATAGGGTCACTATGAGTCGTTGTCAACTCTATGATACACAGCAACAACTGTTAATCTCACTTTGAAGAATCCTGTGGCTTTTAGGGACTGAGCCCAACAGGACAAGGAATATAAAATGAGTTCCTTTCTCTTAAGAATTTCACAACCTGATACTTGAGGTTGTTCTTTGGAGAGGGAAGCTGCGGGCTCCCTACTCCATCTAGTATAATAAACATTTACAGAGTACCTCCTCTTCTCATTCTTCCTGTTCCTTGCATTCCAAGAATCCTACTCATGACCTTGCCTATAATCTAGGCTTTCCCTACTTGGATTTACCTGCCTGTTTGCCATCTTCCTTCCCGGCTTCTGTCTGCACTTTAAAAAAAAAAAAAATTCCAGCTAATTTCCACTCTGTCACCAGAAATGAATGATGAACAGGAGAGAAAGGATGGGCTAGTTGAAAGAGCAATGCTCTAGTTTTTACTCATTCATTCAGTCATTCAGTATTAGGTAGGAAGCTCTGGGGGTCTAGTGGTAAGAAGATGCACTGCAATCCGAAAGGTATGTGATTCGAATCCGCCAGTGGCTTTGCTGGAAAAGGAAGCGCAATCTCCTCCTGTGTGATTTAGTGCCTCTAAAATCCTGCTGGAGGGAAGCTATGAGTCAGTTTCAATTTGATCATGCACTACAACAACATGTACTAGGGAGCTCTGGTGGCCTACTGGGTAAGGAGCTGTGCTGCCAACCCACAGGCAGGAGATTCTAATCCACCAACTGCTCCTCGAGAGATATGGTTGTTGTTAAGCGCCTTTGAGTTGCCTATGACTCATAGCGACCATATGAACAATGGATCTGAAACTTGCCTATCCTGTGCCATACTTAGCATCTCTAAAAAGGCCGCATGAATATGGCCATATCTGTCCTTCATGAACTTCACAAAAGAGAACTATCTCCGCCAACAACAACAATACAAAACCAATGCCCATGAAGTCAGAAATGTCCCCCAAGCGTCCACATCTCTTTCTACTCATCCCAACATTAATCTTACTGACTTACTAGGTACAAAATTTGATGTTATAGCTCACAGACCACAAAGAACAATATTGCTATTGTTATGTGCCATTGAGTTGCCTGCAACTCATAGTGACCCTATGTACATTAGCTCTGAACCCTGCCCTATCCTGAGCCCATCTCCTCATCTCCAACAGACCTAATTTTATTTTTCCAGTCATTGAGTCAACCCATCTCACTCTGGGTCTTCTCTCCTGCACTGTCTCTCCACCCTTCCAAGCATGATGTCCTTCTCCAAGGATTGATCTCTCCTGACTATGTGCTCAAAGTATGTGAGACGGAGCTTAAAAACCATAGCCTACAAGGAGAAACAGGAGAAACTTGGTTTTACCCTCTCCAAAATAGAGCTGTTTGTTCTCCTGGCACTCCAGGTATGTTCAACACTGTTCTCCAGCACAACTGAAAGGCATCGATCCTTCTTCTCTCATCCTTAGTTATTGTCCAGGTCTCAGATGCATAGCAAGTAATTGAGAAGATCACAGCCTAGACAGGCACACCTTAGTCTCCAGACTGTCATCGTTGCTCTTTGCTCTAGAGAGGTCCCTGACAACAGACTTTCCCAATGCAATTCATCTTTTGATCTCCTGACTGTTGGTGCCAAGAGTGTTGGTTGTGGAACCAAGCAAGGTGAAGTTATCAACAATCTCGATCTCTTCTCCATCTATCATGAAGCTGCCAATCAGCTCAGTTATGAGAATGTTGTCTCCTTGATGTTGTGCTTCTATCCATATTGAAGACTGCAGTCCTTGACCTTATGCAGCAAATGCCTCATGTCATCCTCAGTTTCAGCAAGCAAGGTTGTATCATCTGTGTCATCTGCATAATGTAGGTTTCTGATGAGTATTCCTCCAATCCTGATGCCACATTCCTCCTCATAAAGTTCAACCTCTCAAATCATCTATTCTGCATATAGATTGAAATGGTAAGGAGATACGACACATTCCTGATGTACACCTTTCCTAATCTTGAACCATGTAGTGTTTTCCTGCTCTGTTCTGACTACTGCTTCCTGGTCCAAATATATAGGTTTCACATGAGCACAGTTAAGTGTTCTGGGGTCCAGAACCACATTAGGGAAGTCAAAAGGCTACAATTCAGGTTAGTAGCAGACTATAGTCAAGACAGCTTCCAAAATGTGCTTATCGGGGCTTCAGCCTTGGGTCTTGAGGCTTTACACCAATGTTATAAAGCTCTCGTTATTGCTAATTATGACTCTCTCCACCCCAGTCCTCCAACAAACGTGGGCAAAAGGCTCTTAGCTCTGGTTTTGGGGCCTAGAAGTCCCCAGTTCTGCTCCATTTCATGTCATGCCTCTGCTTCTCCTCTATGGCTGCCATATGTGCTGCTCCAGTGAGCCTTAGTCTAGCTGGCACAAGAATTTCTGACCCTGAAGGACATGCGACATTCTCGTGATTCTCCTTTGCTGGTGGGGAAGATCCTCCCATTCTGCTGATGGATCCACTCAATTTAATGGTGGATTGGAGAGATTAGCCAATCTCCTTGTAGACAGGATAATATTCCCTATTTACATAACCAGCCCATACACAATGCAAAGTCAAACAATGGCTAGGAAAGCCAGTTTGAACAATAAATCTTTAACATCACACCATTTCTGATATGCTGTGTGTCCATCCATCTTGGTGGAGGTCTTCTTTGACCCTCTACCTTTTCCCAGGATGATGTCTTTTTTGCAAGGACTATCCCTTCTTGACAACATGCTCAAAGTATGTGAGATTAAGTTGCACCATAGTAAAGACTCTAAGGAGCACTCTGGTTGCTCTTCTTCATTGAACTGTTTTGCTTTTGGCAGTTCATTGGATATTCAGTACTATTCTCCAGCACCACAATTCAAAGTCTTCTTCTGTCACCTTCATTCAATGTCCATCTTTCAGATGTATAGGAAGCAACAGAAAAGACCAGGGCTTGGATCAGGCACACCTTAGTCCTTAAAGTGACATCCTTGCTCTTTAAAACTTTGTAAAGGTCTTTGAGAGCAGATTTCCCTCAATGTAACATGTCTTTTAATTTCTTTTTTTAAATTTTTTTTTTGTATTTTAATTTCTTGATAGCTGTTAGCATAGGTGTTGATTGTGGATCCAAGTAAAATGGAATTGTTGACAATATTTTCTCTTTCTGTCACAATGTTGCCTGTTAATTCAGTGGTGAAGGTGTTCTGTTTTCTTGATGTTGAGAAAATCTCCTTTCATGCAAATTTATAGCCTTGGAAAAACCACTTGAGGGTCAGCTATGAGTCAGTTTCTACTTGATAGCACATAACAACGTATAATAGGAAGTCTGGTGGCATTATCTGTAGCATGGTGCTATCCAAAGGCTGTGTGCCTCTGGTGGTTTGAATCGATCAGTGGTTCTGAGAAAGATGGGCAGTCTGCTCCTGTTAAGATTCACATCCCTCTCCGGAGAGTCATTATGAACTGAAATCAACCCGATGGCAGTAAGCTTGAGTTTTAAATGTGTACTTCAATCTGGCTGAGGACGAGACAAACAGGATCTCTCTTCT